TGTTTGGCACTTCTTTTCTAAAAATCTGTTTTCTCAAAACGATTTGCCGGATTTGGACTCTTTGGTTTAGATTACAAACCGTGACAATTTGAGAGTCCTGAGCTGTAGTGACCCCAATACGAACAGAATGGGGGGGACTCGTTCCTCCCCGGGGGCATTCGGGGACGTCTACAGATAGCTGATCTTTTCTTTCCCTTTTGCTTTTGCCTTACCTTTGCTTTTCAATACTACGGATCTGATCTTTGAGTGGTCATCCTGTGACTGAGAAACACTAGACTCTCTAACCCCAAGCCCAGCACCAACAACTCCTTTATTTACATGAGCATCACACAGCAAAGGCCCACGCTGAACTTCAGTCAGCCCACCCAACTCATGATTCAAATTATTGTGGCCCAAGACCACTTCCAAGTTCAGCCCAGGCTTATTTAGACTTGAGCCACTCAAACTCCTTATAAAACTAGGCGTGAAGACTTGCCCATCATTACCTTGATCAGCTGGCTGTGAGGCATTAAATGCACTACTACCTGTCTCCAGATCCTTGCATGCTTCTGCCTCGAGCTCCTTGCCTACCATGCTGCATGACTCTGCCACTTCCGTATCACTCTTCTATTGTGACCCATTGTCCACCCCTAATACACTACCATCCCCACGTGTCGACATTCTTCTGGCCGCAATTTTGTATTGCTCAGGACCCCGAGCTGACCCACCTCCTATGGGTTGAGTTGACTCATCGATGAGGTTCTGTAGTGGCTTACCAACTCTGTTAGAGTCATGATCCTCTTCTTCCTTATCTGGGCTATGTTTCTTCATTTCATCTAGATGTTTCATACACCTGCAACACTGATTGATTGTTTTTGCTACTACAACCTGGTCTTCCAAGACTCTCACAAGATGAGAGGAATTAGTCTCCAGGTTGATAACCTTGTTAATAGGTTCCATACACTTGGTGATTATCCTAAGTTTACCACAATCGAAAGACTGAGGCATGCATTCAGCACCTTCAATAACTTCACCCCATATGCTACTAATCTTAATTAGATTGCACATATTCCATAAATGTAATGGAATGGCATAACAGCTAATCCATACTAGTCTTTCCTGTGCCAGAGCTAGCTCTGGCCTCCATTGGATGATGTCTTCACACCAATCTTCAATAATATCTTTGATGGCCTTCATTTTTGATTCCATCTCCTCTTTGGACTTGAAAAATAACACCACATCACGTCCTCCTCCTTTTCTGGCTTCAAACCCATTTATTCCTCTTTCATTAAGTTTTAACTTCAGACTAATGTTAACATAACTGACTTTTAGACGAACTAAAACACTGTCGTAGAGCCACCCATTACCATACTCCTCTGCCTTAACTATAACAGGGTCTCTGTCCATTACCTGAATGCCTCTTACCACATCTACAAATGTCTTCTTGTTGGTGAAATGGTATGAGCCTCTCCGAACCTCCTCCCTGGGATGTGATTGTTGTGGTTTTTGAGAATAGAACTTCCCCTGCTCTCTGTTTCTTTCGAATGCTGCAAATTTCACGAATAACTTTTTATCATCCACCCATAGACCATGAGCTTTTTGCACAACTACATTTGCTGCTACTTCACAACTATATCTTACGAATCCAAATCTTGTGTTGTGTTTCTTTTACGCTTTTGCGGAATAAAGATATCTTTTACAACTCCAAACTTCCCGAAAATATTAAACAAGCCTTTGGGATCCATTGAGCTAGGTAGATTATCCACAAACACCGTGAAGACTACTGCACTGTCCACTGCCCTCCCTATTTCTTGCTTTCCTCTTTGCTTCACCACCAGAATCCATCCTCCTCATTTGGAATCCATTCCATAATGAATCGGATGCACTCTTATAATTTTTTTTAATAAAAAATAAAAAATGCCATGAAAAGAGTTAAAGACTTCAGTTCAACTTTTACTTTATATTATAATATAGATAGTATAGATAAAATAAAATAAATGAATATTAGTGTATTTTTAGAGTGAATAAAACAAGAGTAATGATCATCTCCTAATTTTGCTTCCCCAATTCCACCCCTAATGATATAGAATTAGGAAGACTACATATGAGAGAGAGAAGTGTGGGACCGCTTCACATGGGGTCGGCCACGTCATTAAAAGTGAAATTGAAAGAACAAAATTAAGAAAATGTAGCACCACTTATAAAACAAATACATATCTTCTCTGGTTTTAATTCCTTTTGTCGAAATTTCCTATTTAGTTGCTATTCGTTACCACTTGATTTTCATTTATGGTCATAAAGTGATGTTATCTACTATCAAATATAATTAGGGTAAATTGAATACACTTCCCCTTGTTTCTAATTATACAAATTATCTCTGGCGATTTTAAAAATTATATCATATTTCTTCATATTGCTAACCACATGACAAATGATCTCTTTTATTAATGATTAAGTCAATTAATAGTTTTAATGATGTCAAAAATATATTTTAATTAATAATTCTGATAATTTTATTATTATATAGGAGAATAGTTAGAAATTTTATTTTTCTGTTAATTCTGTTAAATAAAATTTTTGACAATAAAATATTTGTAATTTCTAAAATCATAACAAACAATCCATATTTTAAATAAATTTTAAAAAATGCATGAATAATTTACCCATATAATTATGATTACTAAATCATTTTTTTTTTCTTATAAAGATATAAAAACTAAGTAGAGTGTGCATATAATATGTACTTTCTTTTTTAGAGGAATGCCTATTTTATTTTATTTTTGACTTGTTTTCTTTGTTGGAGAGCTCTTAGGTCTATTTTCATTATTGACTTGTTGACTAAGTCTGGGGACCACCACCAGGGTTGGTGGCCTGGTGAAGAGTGCAGTGCATTCCCCAGCACTGAGCCAGGGCCGATTCCTGGGAAGGGATGTTTGAAATTTCTTCAGAAAACACGCCCTGTACTCCCCTCGACAACCTGTCTTCTGCTGGGGCGTGTGGTTGCACTCCATTGGTACCCTGGTGGTGGATCCCTTACTTGGTGAGGGTTAATTCCTTACTGGCAACTGGTTACCCCGGGGTCAGGGCCTACGGGCACCACAGAACCTTTTTTTTCTCGATCAAAAAAATAAAAAAATAAATAAAAAAATAAGTCTGGGGACCTAGACTTATGATCTTGAATTGACCCAGAATGGTATGGTGATTGTGTGGTTGAGATTGAATTTGTGTAATGTGGGATTCATGTATAGAATAAATCTAAATCACTAAATGATAATTTGGAATAATTTCTGAATAGTTAAGTCTGAATTTGTAATATTATTGTTCATTGTTTTCCTTCTTCAAACAGCAAAAGTACTAGCATATTTTTCTATTCTAAGAGCATCTCCAATACTTATTCAAATTTAGAATCAAATTTAAAATTGATGAAACAAGCCTACTTTCTCTCCTCCAACCTTGGCATCAAACGTATATCAAATTAGGGAAAAAGCAAACGTTTCATCAAATCGAGAAAGGTTTCAACGTTCATCAAATTTTTGGAGAGAGTCGTTGCAGTCACCGTACACCGGACAATCGGCCAATTGTCCTCCTAGAGACAACCAGTTACTTGCAAAGTCGCCTATTGCCGATCAACCGCCCAGACATCCTCCCGATCGTCCTCCTGGTCGACCGATTGTTTGATGAAAATTGAAAATTTAGCATTAGAATGTTTGGTATCAAATGAAATTTTTAACCCAAATATTTACTCAAATTTGATTAAATAAATAAAAGAAGAGTAAACGTTGGAAATACTCTAAACAAACATAATATAATAATGTTCATTTCTTTTGGTTTTTTGTTCATCTTGTTTATACACATTAACTAACATATAAAAAAAAATTGTGTGATTTTATTTTATTTTTTTTAAATAAAAAATTTGTACAAAGATGTAAGCACTTTCTAATTCCTCAAAATGCAGTGATAACCAAGTCCAGAATTTTGTGTTGAAATTTGATTGAATGTGTATATACAAGAGAGAGTAGTTGAGACATGAAAGAATAAATAACGAAAGCGTATGAAAAACTTTAGTAGGTAGTTAGGGTTCTCCGCGCCATCATAGCTCATGCAATATGCTCCTCCTATCATTACAAATATATAAAATATCACTCATATATTTTTTGACGTTATATTATATCTCTCTTTTTTTTTCCCTTTTTTTTCCCACCATATTCACATCTCTTCTTAACAAACCATAACCTTTTGGAAAATTATTCAATACTTCTACAATATCACCGTGTCATGTATATGTAATAATTTAGACCAATAAAATCACGTGAGAGAAGATCGATGGGACAAATTTGTTTCTTACTCAATCAATCAGAGTTGGACCGGTTTCACCCATTCCATTATTAGAGAAAATTGTTAGATAATTCCAGAGTACAATTTGTAATTGTCTACCTGCTATTCTCATGAAAATTTATTAAATACCTAATAAAGGTGACTTAACATGTCTCATTATTCGTAAAAAAATTCACCACATAATTGGTTTGGAGCATCACATAAGTAATGTTTTTTTGATCAACAACAAAATATAATCTTTATTGATAAAAATCAAATACATAGTACAAGGATGAGCATTAATAAAGAAGGGTAAGTACAAAAGCATTACAGCAAACAAAGTCATTCTAATTATGTTGGCACCAAAATACAAGTCCGATTACGTGTTAGCACTATACCAAGTTAGGTGAGCAACCAACTAAAATACAACCCACGTAAATAATGTTGCATTTGCTCTGAAACTACTAAATAATTATCTATTCACAATAACTGATAAATTACAAAATATATTAAGTGAATCATCTTTATTTCTCAACTACTTAACAAAAATTATTACTTCACTAATAAAATATTTTCATTTATGTCGTTTGTGAGAAGTATACATAAATAATGTCACATGATGGGCAAGGACTAGCCACATGTGGATGTTGAGTTGGTAATATGAAGGTAGTAAATAAGTACTCACCATATAATCTCTCTCTCATGCATACTCTGCAGTTCACCTACCAACATAACAATCAAACTCTCCGCATAAAAAATAAAAATAAAAAAATTGTGAGATATATTGTTGTTTCCTTTGTTTCTTGTACCTCCTTCAATAAATCCAAAAATCACAAAAAAAAAAAACTCAACTTTTCTTGGATTATAGATGAATTGGGGTCTATGGGATGAGGTAGATATTGTCTCTAGGGAAGATGGTGCAGTTAACCATTGCTATCAAATGAAGTTTTTGTATGGATCTCTACTTTTGTTTTTTCTGCTTTAGTTTTGTTTCTTGCTCGATTTTTCTTTTGTTTTCATTGGTTTGTCCAGTCAAAACAAGTAACATCAAGCAAGAGAAAGAACCTTTTTCTGGGCAGGTATTACTTTTTGTCATACTATCATTGTCTTTATGCTCGTGATTGTCCTATGATAAGAGGTAGTAGATTACATAAGCATATTTTGAAAAACACTTTATGCTTTAATAGTTTTTGATTCGCTGACAAAACTCTCCATTTTTGGTAGGAACATGATTTCTTACTATGTTTAAATTTCTCTTCTATTTTAAAACATTCGCAACGTAAACAGAAAAAAAAAATATTATGAAAGTGTTTTGTAATAGAAATATTGAGAGATTTAGGATAGAGAATCATATGTCAAATATAAGATCTCTATTTGAGGAACACTTTATGTTTTATGTTTTAAATCTTTTGATTCACTAACAAACTCTCGATTAGTCGTAGAAATGAGGCCAAATTTCTTTATCCCTAAATCATTTATCCTTGTAAAATACTTACATCCATTAGATCATACAAGTGTCATGAGACTTTTAAAATAGGATAAGGGAGAAATTTTGGAAAAAGAATACTGCACCGAATATAGAATCCACTTTGTTTTGATGCCAAAATCCACTAGTTCTGATTTTGTCAATCCTACATATGGCCACCTCTCCCTCTCTCTATCTCTAAGTAGATTGTTGTTGCAGGAAATATGAACCTCATGCAACATCTCTTGGAGAGGCTAAGACCCATTGTAAATTTCAGAAGCTGGGATTACTGTGTTCTTTGGAACTTGGGTGATGATCAAAGGTAAACATACAAGCTAAATCTAATCTCTCTCTCTCTCTCTCTCTCTCTCTCATCTTTTGATGTACATGTTGTAGGTTTCTTGAATGGATGGATTGTTGTTGTGCTGGATCTGAGAACATCCAAAATGGTGGGGAGGAGCTTCTTTTTCCTACTTCTTCAGTTCCTCCTTGCAGAGACCTCATGTTTCAGCACCCAAGGACCAAACCTTGCGATCTTCTTGCCGAATTGCCTTCATCCATTCCCCTCGATTCCGGGTCCTCCTTCTTTCTCACACACAAACAACTATATATACACACAAGAATGAATTTGAATGAGACAACAATGTTTACTAACACAGAAACAAATCACATAACGGGACATAGACTCGTTCAAACTCATTCTCAAAGGATATAGACACAAATGAGTGATTGTGTCTTATTCTGTGTTAGTAGCAGCGTTTTTGAATTAGTTTATCTAACTGTACTCGTAAATTTACAGGATTTACACACAAACATTAATGTCAAACCAAGCAAGATGGTTGAACTTCTCTAATAACTCGGATTCGAATGCTTTGGAAGTGAGAATGCCCCAAACCCTTTTTCCAAAACAGAAATCATATATATAGCCCTTTATATCTTAAGTTAATACATTGCCATCTTACTTTTGCAGGAAACAGTTGGGACTAGGGTTTTAATTCCAGTGCCAATTGGACTAGTTGAGTTGTTTGTTGCCAAACAAGTACAACACTTCCTCTTATAATTTATTAGTTCAATTAAAATTAAAAACACTTAATAAATAATCTAGTGATGAACATGATCTTTTCATGCTAATTTTTCATATTAATTATTTGTTTGCTCAACTGATAATTGTTATGTGTTTTTTTTTTTTTCCCCCTCCTTAAAGGTCCCTGAAGATCAGCAAATCATAGATTACATCACTGCCCAGTGTAGCAACATACTAGAACAACAAGTCAAGGTCCATTCAAACAATATGGATCCAAACTTCTCAGTGAATGTCAATGAAATCCAATCAAACCCATTTCTATCCGATAAAAACAGTGAAAAAGATCACAACAATCCATTTCATCCTGCAACATCATTGGAAAACTCGAACCTGCCATACGACATCACTGTTGATCGAATCCAGCTATGCAATTCCCCGATGAATTTCTTGCAACCCTTCAAGAATGACAGCTTCTTTGATGGATCAAATGACTCGTTCCTCGCTGACAAGCCGATCAACACCTTTAACTCTTCGGGAGAGAATGGATTTCAAGAGATGGAAGGACTGCAAAGCAAGGATCAACAACAAGGGACTGACAAGGATTCGATTAAACACGAGACCGGGAGATCAGAATCAATCTCGGATTGCAGTGATTTGAATGAGGATGAAGATGATGCAAAGTATAGGAGGAGGACAGGTAAAGGGCCTCAGTCGAAGAATCTTGTTGCTGAAAGGAAGAGAAGGAAGAAACTTAGTGAAAGGCTCTATACTCTTAGATCTTTGGTCCCCATAATAACCAAGGTATAGCCATCATCTTGTGTGATTCCATTATTTTCATATAATAGGATATATTTACATGTATTTATATTTTCATATAATAGGATTTTTTTTTTTAAGGAGTCATATACGTATCATATGTATTACATTTGTTAATAAATGTCCGATACTTCAAATTGTATATCCCATACTAGAAATAATTTTGTTTAATTTTGGAAAGTATACTTTTCAAATACTATAAATTGATACAAAACTGAACTATTCCAACCTTATTCAATATGAAATATTATACCGGTATTTATAGCAGCTTGATTTCATGAGAGTGGAGGTGTTGGTAAGGCCTCAAACCCTAACAATACCAGTCAAAGGAATAAAGAAAAGAAAAAGACGTTATTGAAAGCATCAATGGTACTTTCAAAATTCAAGAGATGAGATATAGGTTAAATCTGAGGTGGTTGTTTGTTATGAGGATCCAAATTGGAAGGGGATTTGTTTGGTATGAGATGTAGATGGACTATTAAGATCGGTGTTTTAAGTGTTGGGGATGGTTTTTTTCCTTTGTTTTATTGTTTGTTCGGTTGGTTTCTCCAACCATGGTATAGTGTTAGTAGATGATTGGCTTGTTTTCTGTCTCAACTTATTTGGAATAGTCTAGTTTGTTTTGACACTTTGGCACTCACCTTCCTTTATTGATATTCATTTTTATATCCTATACATCTAATTTTCATCAATAAAATTTCTTTTAGTGATAAAAAAAAAATAAAAAAATAGTAGCTTGATTACAATCTAAACAAATCTCTAACTAATTCTTATACAACCCATACATATATATTCTTCTAACTAATTCAGTTAGACAGAATACAACTCTCTTACTTTACCACATAATCACAACTCCCACGTGTATGTATAGTTAGAAGAATATATATGTATAGGTTGTATAGGAATTATTTAGAGGTTTGCTTATTTCTTAGAGAAGAAAAAATAAATAAAATGATACTAAAATTGAATTTTAACAATTAAACGAGTAATTAAATTTGTATCCAACACTTTTATATATAATATAATAATTTTTAAATGTGAAAGAAAAAAAGTAAAGGTGATATAAATAGTTAAAACTTGATATTGAATATTAGCTTATGAAATCTACATAAGAATAAATAAATAAATTTACTACTAGCTCTAAATTAGTACTTGATTTCTAAAAATAAATTTTCAATATTCTTTGAACTTAGGTATAATACTATTAAATATTATATTTATATATATATATTTACGTTTGCATCTTAACCATACCTATATCCTATTTTTTAAATTTTATTAAATTGATTGTTATATATTTTTTTTTTAATCGGCAAAAAAAATCTTTATTAATGAACGATAAAACATTACATCAGAAAAGGAAACAAATGGGTGCTCTTGATAACATTTCTAACTTTCTCCTCTGTAAAATCTGCTTCCAACAGATCCGTTGCTTGACGACCTCCAATATTTTTGAACTGGCCAAACAGTTTAGGCCTAGTCACCCAAGATTCAGAAAATTGATTCATGAAATGAGACTTCACCTCATGCCTAACCTCTAAAGGTTCTTCCACCATTGAGCCATTCACCATAACTGAACACAAGGAATTCCTGCAATTTCTCTTAGACGTCATAATGTGAAAGTACCTCGTACTTTTATCTCCTTTTGAGTCCTAATTAATTCTGGATTTTTGGAGCCAAGTCCATTCCAACATTTTGTTTAACCTCCAATGTCATTCATTACTTCGTTTCTTCCAGCTTGTTCAACCCCCTGAAGTGACCTTTCTTTAGCAATTAGCTCTATAACATGGGTTTCCTCTTCAACAGCCTTAAGCTTAGACTTAAGCTTCCCAAACTCTTCAATGTTCCACACTTTTAACTTGTATTTCAAGGCTTTGAACTTCATAAGACATCTGTAGCTAGCCAAACCTTCCACCTGGAAATCTGACCAAAATTTCTCTACTAAATCTACAAATTTTGGATGAAGAACCCAAGCATTCAGAAATCGAAAAGGTCTAGGGCCCCAATCTCTTTCATCCTCCATCAAAATTGTAGGACAATGGTCAGATATCAATCTAGGAAGTCTCCATAACTTGAGGTTGAAATTTTGTATCCACTCATAATTGAGTAAAAATCTGTCTATTATGCTCTATTTCTCTCTTGTTTGTGAGTTACACCAAGTAAATTTCCTCACAAACATAAGCAAATCAATTAATTCCAGTTGTTCTACCAAGTCATTAAGATCCCTCATTCTTCTGTCTCTTCTAGAGCACCCAATACGTTCAGCAATATTCCTTATTTCGTTGAAATCACCCCCCATACACCATGGCCCCAAGAACAAACTCTTCAACAGAGCTAAAGTGACCCATAATTCTTTCCTTTTAACCACATCTGATGGACCATATACATTGACAATCAAACACTTAAAAGAGGAAAATAATTTACCTGACAGTAGGATAAAATAATGGTTTTCGCAGCAAACATCCAATTGAAGCACCCCTGTATTCCAAATACATAGTAACCCACCAGCTCTTCCTTCCGCGTCCACTGCCAGATACTCAAAATTATCTTTATACTAGTAGGAAGTCTCCATAACTTGAGGTTGAAATTTTGTATCCACTCATAATTGAGTAAAAATCTGTCTATTCTGCTCCATTTCTCTCTTGTTTGTGAGTTACACCAAGTAAATTTCCTCACAAACATAAGCAAATCAATCAATTCCAGTTGTTCTACCAAGTCATTAAGATCCCTTATTCTTCTGTCTCTTCTAGAGCACCCAATACGTTCAACAATATTCCTTATTTCGTTGAAATCACCCCCCATGCACCATGGCCCCAAGAACAAACTCTTCAACAGAGCTAAAGTGACCCATAATTCTTTCCTTTTAACCACATCTGATGGACCATATACATTGACAATCAAACACTTAAAAGAGGAAAATAATTTACCTGACAGTAGGATAAAATAATGGTTTTCGCAGCAAACATCCAATTGAAGCACCCCTGTATTCCAAATACATAGTAACCCACCAGCTCTTCCTTCCGCGTCCACTGCCAGATACTCAAAATTATCTTTATACTAGAGAGACTTTACTATTTTGGATGTAATTGATGATCTCTTTGTTTCTTGAAGCATCACAAAATTGATTTTCCTTCCTGCCAAACTTTGTTTAATTTTTCTCCTTTTCTCTGGTCTACCAAGACCTCTAACATTCTAAGATTGTACCTTCATTATAAAAGTTGTTTCACTCAAGAACTCCCTGAGCTTAGTGCTTAATGCATATCACATCCCCTTCTTATCTCTTTTCCTTTGTCTGTGGCCTCCAATTCCTCTAACCTGCTAATCACCTCCTCCTCCTTGCCATTACAAGCTACCCCCAGCACTTTACCAATTTGGATGGTTGCTTCTGCCTCTAATAAACGTAAACCTCGTCCACTAGATTTACTTGCCATAGATAATGAAATAGCAACTACGGCAGACCTAAAAATAGCTATTTTCCTCAGATTGAGTTCTTTTTTCATAGATTTCTTTCCCACTTCAAACTTCCCCTTCTTCCGCAGTTTGTGGCGTTGGTTTTCCTCTCCTTTCTCCTGCAAACATTGCTTATGAATAAGGGTTGTGCCCAGCTAACTTGGCATAGAATTGGGTTGCCCTACCCCAATAGTAGAGACTCTAATATGATGATTGTTGGACTCAGCCTGAAAATCAAATTTTGTAGCCCTTTGGGCTGACTCATCGCTATTTGTATCCACTTGGGCGCTGTTTAAGTCCACCTCCAAGTTAATGCCTTGTTTCTGCCCTACAGACCCACTCATACTTCTTATAAACCCAGGGGTGACCACCTCATCATCATCTCTACCGCTACCTCTCTTGCGTACGCCACCCTCCTCTGGCACCCCTATACAAAGCCTCCTTGCAGAGCCCTCCCCATATGCGACACCTTCATCTGACACTCTCATCATCAGGTCTGTCTCATCTACTACCGAAACCTCCCTCAAGCTTGTTTCCCCCTCCATATCATTTGTATTGACATGAGCCACCTCCCTCTCCCCTACAACCACCTCACCCCCATTATCCACCTCTTCACCAACATGATCTGCCACCTCATCATCTTCTTCCCCTTGTCTGCTGCCTCTATCTGCAATAGTCTCAACTTCTTCGTCAGAGCTGAAATTGGCTTCATTGTTCCTCAGAAATGATTGGCAGATACATTGCTCTTTCACAATTGTTGAGACTATGATTTGTTCCTCTAAGATCCTAACTGGGTATAATACACCTTGGCAGTCCAGGTTAATTAGATAATTAATGGTGTTCATGCATCTTGTCTCAATCTTGATTTTTCCACAGTGGAGACACTCTATATTCAGTGTGCATTCATCCATTTCAATCACCTCTCCCTAGTCTCTACCTATTGTACAAAAAGTATTGTTGTTCCATAATACCAGTGGTACACCATAGTAGCTTAACCACACCTGTCTCACTTATTCAAGAACCATGCTTTCATCTCCTTCCTCAATCGAGTCGCACCAGTCTATGAGTCAGTCCTTCATTAACAATAACTTCTCCCTCATAGCACACACTGATTGAAATGAGAGAACTAACTGTCTTCCACCTCCAACTCTCTATAGTCACGTCTCTAAAGGTCATCCTGAAACTCTGCAACTGAGAGTTGTGGTTTTAATCTTACCATTGCACTTTTATACAACCATCCATTACCTCTTTTTTTTACTTTAATAGTTCAAACTAAGTTGGGTTGAAGGACCCTACCTCTAGCTACATCAGCATATGACTTTTTCCCTTGTTAAGGAACACTTATAGTGTGATTTCCTTCATTTTCCCTGCACTGATGTACTGGTTGGGGTTTCTTTGGTGTTGATCATTGCCCTTTCTGAACTCAGCCATTTTGACCTTGAGTGCTATGTCGTCGAACCAAAGTCCATTTGCTTACTACAAAGTCATACCCGCTGCTACCCAGCAATCATACCTGATAAACCCAAATCTGGATCCTGTAGATTTTCTCCTCTTGTTCGGGATATACACATCCCTCACCACACCAAAGTTTGAGAAGAGTTGAAATAACCCTTTTGCCCCCATCGATGCTGGTATATTGTCCACAAATACAAAATAAATGTTATTCCTCCTTAAAGCCCCATCAGCGTGACCTCCATGCCTACGAATCACAGGTTGCCATCCTCTATTCCCATTCGTATTGGTTTGCCCCTATCTGAAAGTGCCTTTAATCAATTTGCTTATGCAAAGCTCCTTTGGTTATTGGATTCGATCTTGCTTAGCCAATGTTGAATGTTGATCATCACATCTCCACAAGTAAAACCCTTTGTGGTGTAAATTGATTGTTATATTGATATCGTATTGTATTCATATTTTGTGTTAGTGTTTCATAGAATACAATAGTACTAATAATACAAACAAATTACAAAATGAAATACTGACACTTGCATGTCTATGAGTCCCAAATTTTGTGAGGACCACAACTATATGAGTGTCTATATCCGATTGATTTATGTGTTAATAGCATTTTTGCGTGTAATATAGCCAAATCATTAACTCTATATATTTAAGTATGCAATAAATTAAAATATAATACCTATCTTATCACATTATTATACGTTAAATTGTTTTTTTTTTAAAAAAATTGTAGTGTGAGACATTTTTCGAAAATAAACCATGTTAAGTACTTTCTTCTTCTTTTTTCTTTTTTTTCTTTATAACTCAGGTATCCAAACCAGCTTGATAACTCATGTTAGTATTTGTTAATGAAATCTAATGGGTATTTTGGTTTGTCATATAGTTGGATAGAGCTTCAATACTTGGGGATGCAATTAACTTTGTGAAGGAGTTGCAGAAGCAAGTAAAAGATCTCCAACATGAACTTGAAGATCAGTCCGACGACGAAGGTACCAACAACAACAACAACTATGGAAGATCAGAGATTTTGAACCAAAATGGAATTAATAATGTTGTTGGATTGAAACCTGATCAACTTGAAAACGCTCCTTCAAATGGGTTTCACATGGGTGGAGCTGCAGCAGCAGCAAGCAATGGTGATGTTGGTGGTGTTGCAGAACCCCCCAAACCAAAACATGAATCTGATAGTTGTGACAAGCAGCGCCAAATGGAGGTAGGTACCTCATATTAATTGGTTGTGCTTTTATTTTTGTTTTTTGTTTTTGGTGTTTTTGAATTTTCGTTTTGGAGCAAAAATCACCTTGTTTGGTTTGAATTTTCAAAAATAGTTTTCTCAATTTTTAATTCGTATTTTTGTATTTTTAGTGATTTTTAAAAATATTTTAATCAATTTTTTTTTTTTAATCTTGATACATTTAAAAAGTATAAATTTTGTACAAAATATGAAAAGATACTAATTTTTTTGTATTTTTTTGTAATTTTTGTATTTGGTAATTTTTTTTAGAAAAAATTAATAAATATTATACTTTTTAAATGTATCTAGATTAGTTGTATCTAACAAATAAAAAATTTGTGTAAAATATTAAAAAAATTCAGCAAAAAAAAAAAAAAAACTCACTGTTTGGTTTAGTTTTGACAATCAATTTTGAAAGATAGTTTTTTTAAAAGAGTTAACGAACTTTAAAAACTTGTTTGGTTGTATATTTTAAAAATTATTTTTACACAATTTTTAGAAAAGTGAGTTTTCTAAAATTCCACAACAGTTTTTTAATATTTTGAATAAATTACATTAATAGTCCCTACATGTTGTCTCTTGTGTTATTTTGATCCCTATATTATCAATAGAGCCAATTTTAACCTTTTATTTTAGATTTAAAAGAGTTAATGAACTTTAAAAACTTGTTTGGTTGTATATTTTAAAAATAATTTTTACACAATTTTTAGAAAAGTGAGTTTTCTAAAATTCCACAACAGTTTTTTAATATTTTGAATAAATTACATTTTTTACACAATTTTTAGAAAAGTGAGTTTTCTAAAATTCCACAACAGTTTTTTAATATTTTGAATAAATTACATTAATAGTCCCTACATGTTGTCTCTTGTGTTATTTTGATCCCTATATTATCAATAGAGCCAATTTTAACCTTTTATTTTAGATTTTATATCAATTTGATCCAATTGATAAAACCATTAGGGTTTTTGACAAAAAATAATCATTGAGTTGATGAAGTTAACTCACAGCGTTAAGCAACTTTATAATTTTACTCCTAAAAACATAACACATGCCGCTTATTTATGTTTTTTTTAAAGGAAATGCTAACAATTATAATCAATTAAATTGAGACAAAATTATAAATTTGATGTCAAAATCGAGCCAATTAGAATTATAGGGACCAAAATAACACAAAGATTAAAGTATAGGGACTACTAGTGTAATTTGTCCTAATATTTTTTTAGAAAGAACCATGTGAAGGAGAAATGCAGTCACGTCCAGTTAGCTCATGAGACTCACCATGAGTCTTATTTTGGTTATTTGAACCATTTATTTTATAAATTTCCCATGTGTAGGTTGTTTTTAAACAAAAACTAATCTATAATTTTATCAAATTTATTTTTTAAAAAATAGATGATGAATATGATTTTATTATAGATTATTTATTTCTTAAAGATGAAACTATAATTTTATCAAATTTATTTTTTAAAAAATAGATGATGAATATGATTTTATTATAGATTATTTATTTCTTAAAGATGAAACTAATGAAATTATCATATCAATGTCATTTTCTTTTTCATTAATAGCCACACATAGAGATACCTCTAAAATAAATGTATACTGAAATATGCCCATACTGAGCCTCACGGACCCAATTGGAGATAGTTGCACTTCTCTCCAACTCAAGAAAAGTCAATTCCTTCATGAAGGAGCTGACTTCTCTATAGTCCGCTTGAGACATGAGAATGTTGTTCGGACATATAATGCCTAAGTTTCATTTCGATAATTTTAAAATATTCATTTTATAGTGCCTTTCATATATATATATATATATATCATTCACAAAAATAACAGGTCGAGTTTATAATTGTAGCTCATTCAATTTATTAGAATTGCCTTTTCAAAAAATAGACAATAAGTGTACTTTTAAAAATAGACGATTTTTTTTTTTTTTTTTGGTGATAAACGCGATAAATTAAATAAGTTATGATTATCATATCAATCTATTTTTTGTTTGGATGACATACAAGAAGAACCTTACGAAATAAATTATTAGGATTATCAAAACAAGACCCGTGGTAAGTCTATGAAGCTGGAAAACACCCTCTAATCCAAATCATAGATAGGAGGGAAGCTCTATGAAGCTGGAAAACACCCTCTAATCCAAATCATAGATAGGAGGGAAGCTCACTTCCTTTTTAAAAATGGGTTCTCTTTAGAAACCGTTTGAGCAATATTTTTTTTTCTTTCCTTTTTGTGTATTTAAAAAACAAAAACACAATCGAACAGGCCACTGCTACTTCAAATTTAACTAGTTTTGGCTTGTGTTTTCCTTGCTTTGAAAACATTAATGTGAATGAGTTCTTTGCATGATAATGTTTTTGTTGGGAATTTGTAGCCGCAAGTAGCAAATTTAACGAGTTTTGGTTTGTGTTTTCCTTGCTTTGAAAACATTGATGTGAATGAGTTCTTTGTCTGATAATGGTTTTGTTGGGAATTTGTAGCCTCAAGTAGAAGTGGCTCAATTAGATGTGAATGAGTTCTTTATAAAGGTATTTTGTGAGCACAAGCATGGTGGCTTTGTGAGGTTGATTGAGGCTCTCAATTCTCTTGGCTTGGAAGTCACAAATGTCAATGTTGCTAGCTTCAGAACTCTTGTTTCCAACGTTTTCAAAGTTGAGGTATATATATCATCCTTATTAAACAGCCTACCATTTCATATTTCAAGAAAAGAAATCTTCTAGAATTTTCTTACATGATTATTTATCACAATGTTATGTTAGTGATATTTTTTATGTTAAAGAAACGAACAGTGCTATACCAATAAACAAAATTAAATATAGACGCCTTGTTTGAAAAATTGATTATTTTATTTTATTATTTTTTTTTTTTGGCTATTTAGCTTAGCTAAAATAGTTGTGTTTTGGAAGTTGGTTGACTTTTTTTTGTAGATAATTTGATGATTGTGAGAAAAAAAAGTAAAATGATTATGAGTTAAATATGATATTTTGTTTTATTAGCTATTTGTGAGTTATTTTAACCCAACCCCCTTTCCAAACGCCTCCAATTGTGGCTGCATTGCTTTGAAACTTATTATTTTAAAATAAAAGAATCTATTTAATTACAAAAAATACCACTGTCATGTCATTGTAATTATGTTTGAATAACATTTTTTTTCACAACAATGATATATCCCTCTAAAATTAGAGCTCTAATTGAGTTCTAATGAAGTGAAAAGTTAACAAAAAAAAAAGTCAAAACATCACATCAGATGGGCCCTACATACACATTAGAGTTATTAGAGCTCACAAATTAGAGTTCCAAAACATTTTTGTTTTCTTAAGAAACATCTTAATGATTTTTTATTTTTATTTTTTTAAGTGTTATTGGAACTCTACTACATTTTGTATAAATTTTAGGGTAAATTACACCCACCTTTTTTGAATTTTGGAGAAAATACAGTCAATTTCATAATTTTTACATAATTATGTCGACCACACTTTTAGTAAGGATAAAATAATGGAAACTAATACAGATGGTATGTAGACAATAAAATAAACAAAAATAAATATATATTTTAGTAGAATAGGGATAACAACATTATTTTTTTCATTCACATGACTAATGAATTAATTATGAAAAAGTTTCTAACTATTAAATGAATTAAAACCTCAAGGGAGATAATTATAATTATGTCAAAAGTGTGGGACTAGTGATATTTTCTCCAAACTTCAAGGGAGATGGGTGTAATTTATTCTAAATTTTTTGTATGTATTTTTTGTTTGTATATAATTACTCTTGAAAATATGTATATATACATATAAATTTATATATAGCCTCCGTTTGGGAAGTGGGTTGGTTTTTTGACTTTTTGGCTTTTTTTACTATTTTAGCCTGGGCTAAAAAGCTTGGTTTGGGAAGAATTTTTTGACTTTTTTTGTGAAAGAAGAGTGTAATGATTATGGATTGGATGTGATGTTTTGTTTGTTATGGCTAAAATAACATATTTTGTCTTTTGTGGTTAAAATAGCCACAAAAACCCTTGCCAAACGGAGCCTATGACTGTAATAGAACTTCTTTAAAACAAAATACTTGTCTAAATGATGTTTAATTAGAGAAATGTTATTATCATATCATTTTGATGATTAATTATGTATGAATAAATATTTTCATTTCAAGTACATACAAAAATTGAACACTCATGTCATGGCACTCAAAGTTTTATTTTTGCAAATACAACTAAATTTATTTTCTAGTAATTTGTTATATATGAAAGAGTTGAGTTTTTTGTTTTTTGTGATAATCTCAGAAGAGGGATAGTGAAATGGTACAAGTTGATTATGTAAGGAACTCTTTACTGAAGATAACAAGAAATCCATCTGAAATGTGGCCTGATCAGAATATCAATGACAATGACAATGGCAACGACAATGACAATGGCATCGACTATCATCATCATCATGATCACCGCCGCCACCACCTCCACAGCAACCAAATCAGCTCTCACCACCACCACCACCACCATAACCACCTTCATAACCAACCATAAACCACAGGCAAGGATTTCAATGAATGTGTCATTTTTTAACTTCTTTAAGTGCTCTTTTGCCTTGTACAAGCTCGTGTATGAGATCATAGACATCTTATGCAATAATATGAGGCTTCTTCAAGTTCATACTTGCTTTGTTTTAATTAGTATTACTTCTCACTTGACATGCGGTTGCTTGGAAGTGTTTGAGTTTGTAAACTAAACTGTGAATGGATGGGGTCAAAATTAATTTCAAACTAATCTTAGAGAGCATATAGAGTAGGAATAAATATTAATTGAGGCACTAGTTGGTATCTCCTACGAAAGTGTACTTTTTTATCTTTGTTTTTAGTTATATTACATCTTTATTTTTTTATACATTTTTTTATAAAAAATTAAAAAATATATTTATTTAGATTATTCCAAACGACATCTAAGTGTAGTGATAACATTATTCTACATAGTCTTACAGATTAATAAAATATCACAAATAGTGTTAGGTAGACATCTCTTATTGCTTGTTAATCCAATCATGTAGCCTCTACTATTGTAATATAAAATTTCTGATAAGAGTAGTGTGCATTGACGTTTGTACATAGGTATTCATAAATTCAATTACCATTAAATAAGTTTTTTACTACTTAACTTTTTTATAATTTTTAACATATATTTTACGAGTCACTTAAATTTTTAAGTAATACTAATTATAATTTTCAAATAAATTTAGTAGATTTTCACTTAATACATGCAGTTTAAAATGTTGAATTAAGTTATTAAATGTCACTCTTTTCCAACATCCAATCTAAATTTAATTTAAACTTCCAAATTTTTTCCCCAATAGACATGAATTCAAAAATATATTCTCCAAGCCTGACAAAATTTTGAGTTAAGCTAAAATTAACAATTTTCTCTCTTAGCAGCCCACCCACTCAACCGCTGGCGCATCACTAACGCCTGTCACTCCAGAAGAATGAGATTATAACAAAATAGGAGTGATAAGGTTTGGTTTTCCAGTAAAAAATTTTAGAGTCAAATCAAACCCAACTATGAAAATGTTGTTCGGTTTAATTTAAAGTGATAATTTTTTTATGAACTTGCCATTATTCACAAAATTATTATTTAAAAATTAAGTAATATAATAACTTATAACAACAATAATAAAGACTACTAATTTTTGAACTCTAAAAAGACCACTAATGACATGGCACTCAATAAAAAAAGAAAAAAATATATCGAAAACATCAAATCATTCCTGATGAGACCCACTGCCACATCATTAGTGATAGCACTAATTAGTGCTCTCACTCATTTTCCAACTTATAAATACTAGCCTATCACCCGTGCTATGCACGGGATAATTTTAGATATTTGAATTTGTTTTAGATTTTTTTTAATATATAAATTATGTTTTTTAAGACTTTTTATAAAAATAATTTAACAATCTTATCACTAACCATAGTGTATGGGAGAAGTTGAAAAGGGTACTGTAGTAATTATACACGGATTGTATCTATAATTATTTGTATGAGGTGATTTTAAATGCTGATCAGGAGTTTTTGACCAAATTAATAAATGCAGGCATGTGGAAAGACATGTGAATTGAAAAAAGTTAATAAATACTGATCACGAAATTTTGACCAAATTAATAAATGCTGAATTTTTTTTTAAATAAAAAATTTAAAAAAGTCAGATTGAGATATTGAAACTCCCACAGGTCTTGGGATTTAAAAACCCCCTTTTACTTAATATATCGTACTAACATATGATCCGCGCTATGCACGAATTGTGTTTACAATTATCTATATACGTGAATTGCGATTTTTAAATGTCTTTTTTTTTAAATGCCTTCTTTTTTTCCTTTTTAATATTATATTAAAATTTAATATTTTGATAATAATCATATGTGTTAGACTTTTCAGGGAATTAAATGTCTTTTTTTTTATTATATTATATTAAAGTTTAATATTTTGATAATAATCATATGTGTTGGACTTTTCAAGAATTTTTTTTTATGTTTGTTCTTAATGCATTAAAATGTTATTATGAGGGATAATAATTATATGTGTTGGGACTTTTCAAGAAATTCATATGTGTTAGATTTCAAAGAATTTTTTTATGTTTGTTTTTAATACATTAAAGTGTTATTATGATAGTGGGACTTGGGACTTGGGAGAAGTTAATAAATGTTAAGATTTTTTTTTTTTAAAATCAAAAAATCAAAAAAATTAGATTGGGAGATTGGAGCTCCCACAAGGCTTGGGATTAAAAATCTCCTTTTGCTTAATATATAGTATAGATAGATTGGGATTGCTTGGTGATTGGTTTATTGTTTTATAATTACACTATTGATAAATGAAGGAGATAGAAGGTGGGGAAATAAAACAATAAATGAAATGAGAGAGAGAGAGAGAGGCTATTTTGCTTCCCCAAGATACCCATGTAATCATTGTGTCAATGTAATTATTATAATCTTTGAATCAATCACTAAGTCAATTTTTTTTAAAAAATAAAAATAAAAAATCAGGAAATTAGCATTAGCATATTAGAGCTTCCACTAGGAGTTAAAACACCTTTTTACTTAATATATAGTATAGATATATAAAAAATCAATAAGATATTTGGATGCTGTAAATAACAGTTGGATTCAATTTAATTTTAAATTAAAACAAAATTATTAAATTATTGACCAAATCATAAAATACCCTTCACTTATTTTAAAAATTAAGACGGAATTTGAGTATAAATCAAACCAGTCTGCAATTTTTGGGATTTTTAGCACAAAACTATGTCGTTTTGTAACTCCCTCTAGAACATTCCAAATTTCACCGCATTTGCCATTTCATCTTTTATGTCCGAATGTCCAAATCCAAAACCCTAAAAACACAGAACCTAAAGCCCTAGAAACCCTAATCACGTCACCACTCTCTCTCTCTCTCTCTCTATATATATACACACACACACATACATACATATATATATATATATAAGTATATATAATCAATGGCAGGGGCTCGATTCAAAGAATTTTTGAAGAAGTACGGCAAAGTAGCAATAGGGGTACATTGCTCAGTCTCGGCGGCTTCAGTCACCGGTCTCTACATCGCCATCAAGAACAACGTTGATGTCGAATCAATGCTTGAGAAAGTCGGTTTGCGAGGCCTCCCCACCACAGCCAAAGACGAACCAGAAATTCCCCAATCCAGCCCCGAAATGACCACCGATGGGTTCGTCATCGAAGATCAGGTGAAGAAGAAGAGGAATCGGACGGCTGAGTTGGCTGCTTCGAGCGGCGGAGCACTTGCTTTGGCCATTCTCGTTAACAAGGTTCTGTTTCCGATTAGGGTTCCGATCACCATCGCGCTTACGCCGCCGATCGCCAGGTTCTTGGCCAGGCGGCGAATCATCAAGAACAGTCAGTAGTGTATGATCTTAATTTTCATAGTGTTTGTTTTCTATATGTGAATTGGTTGAAATAATTGAGACAAGTATGAAATTTCTTTGTTCTTTCTCTGCGTTTGTTTCGAATCCAATCCATTTGGGTAAAATTCTCAATTTCATATGGATATTCATTTCATATGCAAACATTATTGAAGATGGTAATTGTAACAAGAAATTGAACAACTCACATCATAATTGAAGAGTAGCCGCTCAAAATTTTTGAAGGCCTTAAGCTAGTTATGAAAATATGGCCTCATTTTATTGAGCCATTGAAATATTAGCCCCTTCGACAATAAGAATTTTTTAAAATTTTGTTGGAGGTCTTAGGCGATGGTCTAAGTGGCTTAATGGTTGCCCAAGAATTAATCTTTATTGATCTTTTCATACCTTTATTATGTTAGACGAGCCTCAAACGTTTGATCTTATGTGCATGGACGTCTTCAAATTTCTCTGTTCCTTTATTCCAAAATATTTACATCCATTATTACCCAACTCAAGATTGTTAATGATTCAATAGTTATAAGTGTTTTTTTTTTATTTTGATGGCGGAAAAAAAAATTGGGAACAGAGGATCTTGTTAATTGATCATATGTGTTTGAGGATGGAGCTATGGAGATGCATGAAATCATTGATTGAGATCACTTCAAGCTTGGTTTGCAATGAAATGATGCAGATATGAATTTCTTGCCAATAAGGATCATGAATGTGTGCTTAATGCCTGTATGATTGTACTCACTTGAATTATGTTCCCTTCTTGAATTCCAAAGCCTCTATCAATTTCCATGGCTTTCCTTTTTGTCCATTTAAATTAGCAATAATTTTTCTCTGGACTTCCGGCAAAAAAAAACTGCTGTATATATAGATAAACTGAAACTATTGTATTTGTTTCGATCTGTGGATTGTTACCCAGTTTATGAGAAAATGTATATGTATATATTTCATGTTCTGTTTTGTGAAAAGTTGAAATCTTGCAATTTTTTCACATGACCTCTTATTGTTGCTGGGAATATTTTGGAGTGTTGCTTCATTCTTGGAATGTCCCAATTGCAACAGAAATGCAAGCAGTGTAGTTATTAAGGGTTAAATTCCTATGACAATCTTAGGAAACATACAATAAAAATGCCATAACAAAGTGCCCTCAAACAAAATTGATTCTTCATTCCTATCCCTCCCCTCAACCCCAAAGTGGAAGAGGAATAAAATGTGAACACAACAGCTTCACTTTCCACCCCTCATTACACTTTAAAATTCAATTTCAATTTGATTATTCTATTTAAATTTTATATTAATTTTGTCCACCTTAAAAAATTGACAAATATTTTAAAATTGTTAATTTTAACCTTCAATTTAGATAGAATGATCGTATTGAAACTATAGTTAAAGTGTAAGGAATAAATTGTTCAATTTAAAACTATAGAGATTAAGGTGAAATTTATGTAAAATTACAAGGGTGAAAAGTGTAATTAACTTTTAAATTTTTAATACAATTATGTAACTTGCCATTTAATTTAAATTTTTCTCTTTTTTTTTTTTGGAAAAAAATACCTAATTTATTTTCTTTTGAAATTAATCACATCTATTATCTCATTTCTAAATTTATTTTTTACTTTTATTTCACTTTTATTGTATTTCCATTCTAGTCATGTGAAGCTTACATGATCAATCTATGTACAAATAGACTATGTTTAAGTAATTAATGCGAAAAAAGGAGAAAAAAAAAACTACCTATTTTAATCCATTGTTATCTTGGAATAATTAATGGGATTTTAATTTAAATAGAAAAAAGTTCAACTTAGGAGAATATGAAGGGGAAAACAATGAAACAGTAACTTTTAAACACCAAAAACAGGAGAAAGTTGCATAATTCAAAACGGAAAGCAGAAGCTGCAGTAGGTGATAGTCATTCGGTCCAAGATAAATCAAAGCATCCTCCCCGGGGAATATGAAGGGAAGCTGCTGTGCCACTAAAAGCGTTGCGAAGTGCAACCAGATGAGAACATCAGCCCATCAAAACTCATCATCATCCTCTTCAGCAATATGCTTTGCGAGCTCTTGTTCCTGTTGTTGCCTCTCTCTCCTCTTCTCAGCACTTTCTTTTTCTTTGTGGGAATTCGGAGGGAACCGAAGAGCACGCACTGCTTCATTATGCATATTGAGGCAAAAAGCAATCCTCGAGTTGAATGCAATTTGAGGCTCGTTTGTAGAGTAAATGTCCCCAGTCTCTTTCGATACCATCCACCCATTTGCATGATCTAGTGTGGCATCAATTGCACCGTCCCGGATTGCCTTGGATACGATGCTCTCAGCATCAGCAACAGGATTTGGGGAGTCCAATCTGAGTTTTTTGGCTACATCAACTAACGATATTCGGGAATAAGAGATACTGATGTTGCGTAACCCAGTCCTTATAACGTTATGACGCAGCCTAACAATTAAATTGTGGGTCCGGTCCGAACTGAAAGTACTGGAGAACTTGTCAGCAATGGATTTAAACAGCTCCAAATCTCCAATTCGAACAGCCTGAAAATCTCACACATCAAGCTAATCAGTGGCAAAATCTTTGGAATTAGCAAGTGACTTCACCATAAAAGGCCATTATTCAGACCTAATGAGATCAACCACCAGTTTGTGGTTTAAGAATTGTTGTTGTTGTTGTTGTTGTTGTGTGTGTGGATATAATATACCCGTTAAGGGAGGTCAGTGTAATTTACCCTTAAAATTTGGAAAAAAAAAATACAAAAAGTCCTACAATTTTGACATAATTACGCTAACCTCCCTTTTAGTAATGCTAAAGGGACCAAAACGAATGCAGATGGTGTGTAAAAACAAAGAACAGACAAAGAAAAACATACATTTCAGTGCAAAAGAGATGACATCATTTTTCTATCCATATGACTAACGAATTATAGATGAAAAAGTGGTCAAGTGTTATGCCAAAACTGTGGAGCTTCTTGTATTTTCTCTAAATCTTAAGGGAGGTCAGTGTAATTTATCCTTACTAGAATCAAACAGTACAAGCTGAATCTTTCCAATCCTGGTTCCTAAGAGAACTTGCGGCCAAGGAGAATATTTTTTTGATAAATCAATACTCACATTTGTAAGCTCGAAGTATGGCCTCAAAGCCTGCTCCATGCCCTTCTGCATAAACACTGTCCTCTCAGGTATTTCTCCGAGCAAAAGGCGGACTATCACAGCCCATTTATTGCATTGCACCCGAAAACCAAGAGCTGCAACAGGGGCTTTGCGAGCAGCTTGCAGAAGTGACTCTTTTGCATCTGTATATTCCAACTGTATTGTCCTAATCTTTCCTAGATAAAAGAGATACCGGCAGAACTGAAAGAGAAAATAGTTAGCGTCAGACAAGGAGGTTGGAGAGTGAAAAACATTTTGATTTGCAGTGACAAGGCCTTGGAATTACCAGAGTGATAAATTATGACAAGAACCACGTGGCAAAGAATACCAATCAAGGGAACCACAGTCACACTCAGCCTCAATCTCTTACAGAGAGTAGTTAGACTATTTAAACCACCTTTATTCAAGATGTCTCCAAAAATCGACCTTGGAGTTCATATATAAATTGGTAAAAAGCATATTGGATTGATGATTTGAAATGCTTTGGAAATGTAGTAAAGAGAACAACAATGATTTCATCAAGAATCATAATTGATAAAAGGAGGAAAGCCAAATAACAGATTCAACATTCTAAGAAAGACTAGCATAGTGGACAAGGATCCAGTTACCAACTAGCACAGAGGCCCTGAGCTAGTAGCGCACTTTCAAGGAGTTTGCGAGTTCACCACTTTTTATTAACTAACTTTGACATTGTTTTTTTAAACTCTGAAATTTTTATCTTTCTTGATTCCCTTACTTAAATTCATAAAAAATCTATTATATAGTCAAAATTCATAATTTTATTTTTTCAGAATGTTTGCCGCACATACGCATAGGCTTTCAATTTTGTAAAATTTTTACTATTATCCTCTTTGATCCTCAAGGTGGCCCCATTTGTTTCCACTTATTTGCAGCTTATTTAACTTAAAATTTGAAATCACATACTTACACAGTTGCACTTAAAAAAGATTGTGCGTTTGGTTAGTATGAGCTTATTTGCTTTTTTTAGCAATAAGATCAAAAAGGTAGATTTTTTCAAGCTGATTTAAATGAAAATAGGAGTTGCCTGCTGATTTGAATGAGCTTCAAAACGAGGTGCCTTCGACCTCAGCTTCTCTGCCTGATCATACAAGTTGAAATGGAGGTAATTTCGAAGTAGCAGGTTGAGAAGTGTTTCCTGCATAACAACGTTATATCAAAAAGATAAGAGACCACTATCATGCCATCAACTAATTTCTGACTCAGTCGAAAACAAACCTGACCCAACTCATCATGTCGCAATGTAGCCATTCGATGCAAAGCAAGGAGATTACTATCAATACAGAGATGTAGATTAGACAAGGTTGCATAGAAAATGTACATCAGGATAAATTATTACTCTCTAATCTTGGTCCTTCTTCCTATTTCTTTTGTTAAAATATGTACCTGTGCATTACTCTCAGATGCAAGGAAATACACATGATTTCAAATAAAAGTAAGGAATTGATATTAATGGAGAGTACTCACCCCCGAATTTCAGCAAGATCACCAGTGAGCTCATAACTAAGAGAGTAATAGAAGTAAAGTCTCGCAGCCAGAACATCAATGGTTCGCCTATTCAAGTTTTTCAAACGGGCAATACTTGCTGAGGAACACACTTTAGCCTGGAAAGCAGCAGCAGTAAGCAATAATGTGATTTAACAAACATTATCAGTTGAGTAAAGAATAAGACAGCACTTGACGTGAACATATATCATTCTTGTACCTCATTGTATCACTTCTGATCAATTAAAAATATTAGCACAAGCAAGTAGCAATAAATCTCAAGTTCAGGCAAGGAGTGCTTCACAGGAGCTTGGGTTGCAGATGTTGCAGTATCAACTTCCATGTCATGTTCATCCTCCTACAGACAATATCTAAACTTGTAAAACTAGGATCAATAATAAACACATAAATATTCAAATCTGATATTCAGTAATGTATTTTTTTTTTTTTATTTATT